GGTACTCTGGTTTCTGGGTATTGAACTCAAGTTATGGGAATTCTAGGGTAAGCAAGCACTTACACGGCTGAGCCATCTCACTGGTCCTAATTAAGTCCTTAGGAATTACCCATTTAATCGGTTAAATATATTACTGTAAATTAACAAAATGAAAGGTATAGAGTCTTTAAGACCATTGCTACCTTTGGGTTTCTATGTGAAATTAACCTTTTTTAAAAAATTAGTTGGCAACTTACTTGCCAAAATCTGTCTGCTGGCAAGACTGGGCCAGTAGGCAAGACTGCCACATGTCTTGTGGCAATGACCTGAATGGCTCTCTGCAAAGGGCTAGAATCTTCTGCTATTTTTGTCATGCATATCTTTGAATGTACCTAGTGAATCAATAGAAACCTTAAATAAAGTAAATATTGCACTAATTATGCAGCTGAAAGTGATATCTTGAGAAGATTATGACAGAGTTTGTTTTCTAGGCTGTTTCATTTTCTCAAAGCAAAATAAAGCCAAGAAAAACAACAACAAGAAAACAAAATCATCTTTTCTGTAGCGTAAGGAATCTCTCCTGAAGATGCTGTCCCTTGGAGTTAGTGTGCTGTCATGCCAGGCTTCTTTACAGTTGAGTTTTAAATTTTCCCATTGTGTTGACTGTTATGCTGGCATTTCCCAGTAATTGTTTTCTGTAATTTAAGAGGCCATATACTCAACATAAAGAACCATACTGAAATTTGAAAACTCTCCCTCATTTGTAGGCAGTTGCTAGGTGGTGTGTGTCTTGATGTTGTGAGCAGACATGAAAACATATTTCAGCCCGAGATGCTGAGAGTTGATTACTGAAAATCATGGATCAGGAGTTACAGGCTGCTGGGAGCTGCTTGATGTGGATACTGGGGACCTAACTTGGGTTTTATGCTAGAGCAGTACATCTATCCAGTTCCATTTTCCCCTCTGGGAACAGATTTCTTTTTGGACTATGGAAAAGTTCCACATGGGCAGAATCAAGTCGTAAAGTTACAGAATGATGCTTCCCAGCCTTTAAGTACCTTCTTTG